CGAGTACTTCTCTTACTAAAGTTCAAAAGGGTCCATATTATTCAGGTATAAAAATCTACAATCATCTGCCTAAAGAGCTGAAACAATTATCTAATAACCAGAAATCCTTTGAACATTCCCTAAAAAGATTTTTACATGCTAATTCTTTTTATGCATTAAATGAGTATTTTAATTATAAAGGCACATAAATTTGAATGCTTAACGCCACATTTTAATATAGTTGGTAACGGAGATGTGAGGAGTTGTATTGTGGTTACTTGTGACTTATGTTTGTTTAATCTTTTTGCCTTGTATTGTTGTATGTGCTGGATAATTAATGTGGGTGATCTTCGCGGTGTGACTTGTGTGACTTTGTGTATGTGTTTGATGACTAATTCCACATCCTGGGTTTCTTCCCTGTATGGATGTTTATGGAAAGTGGAGGATGTGTATGTATGTACAGGACGAGTCCTGTATCAATGTATTTTGATTTATGGGAAAATTGTATTAATTTTAAGTTTTTACAGTAATGCACTTTTTAAATTACCGTATTTACGCATGTATAGGCCGCACATTTTTTGCCAAAAATTCAAGAGGAAAACTGGGGTGCGGCTTATATTCGAAATCACACTTCATTTAAAAAAATTATATTCATAATTAGTAATACAGAGTGTAATACTCCTGAAATAATATTCCAAGAAAATTATTTTTTCTATAATTTCTGTCTGAAAATTGTGCTGCGGCCTATACATGTGTAAATATTAGTTACAATTGTAATAAGCTCTTGTTTTGTTTTTTTATATTACCTATGTTAGTTAACTGGTGTGTGTTATTTTAGTTGTGTGACTTATGTAATCTATTACATGTATACATCTATAATCAAATGGACTATTTCCACATCCTAGGATTTTTGCCTGTATGAATATATGGAAAATAAAGGAAATGAATGAATGAATGAATGAAGGACCAGTGGAAGAAAATGAAATATGGAGGAAGAGGTATAACCATGAGCTATGCAAACTATTTAATGAACCAGACATTATTGGATTTATAAAGGTGAAAAGGCTTGAATGGGCTGGACACATAGACGTGCCGGCGAGAATAGAACGGTTAAAAAAATGCTTAATACTAAACCAGAAGGAAATAGGAGAGTGGGAAGACCAAGATTGAGATGGAAAGAATGTGTGGCAGGACATAAGAATTTTGGGTGTAAAGAACTGGAGGAATGTAGCATCAAGTGGAGGAGAATGGAGAGCAATCCTGAGGAAGGCCAGGGCTCACAAAGGGCTGTCATGCCAGTGATGATGATAAAGACGCTCACTTGGTTACGGTGAGGGTTAGCACAGCAGGGTGATAATACGTTATTTGTGTATCACTTGATGGTATTTTGATAGGACAATGTAGCACTTACATCGCCTCAAACCAATAAATACAACACACTGTTTCATTTTCTGGTACAAACTACTTACTGTCTTTATTTGCTGATCTTCATATGTCTCCAGACAACTCACATTTGTGCATCATATATCAGTTTTGTCAAAATACATACATACAGATAACCAGTTAGGAACAAAGAACAGGTACACATCCAGTTATATGAAATAAAATTATATAGGGATCTAATTTATTGTTCATAATGGTCACACCCAGTGGAAGAATAAGAAATATATCCGTAAGAAAACTTCAAATTAACATGTATCAGCAACCTAATGTCAAAGTTATTTGAAATAAAATGTTGTACATGAACTACACCAAAATTCACTCTCTCCTTCAGTGTCTACTAATCAGTAATAACACTGTGCTCTTTCACAGACCTCACATTTATCATACTGTCTTCTAATATTTATTCTCACGTGTCACAAAATAAATGCAGGTTACTTATTGGGCCTTCGCCTGCGAACACTGGGCTGTATGGGTCATCCATGGAATTCCAAACGGCCCACCAGTTCACGCACTGTAGCCACAAGTGCCTCCCGGTCCCGAGTGGTGGAATCAAGAAGCAGTGAATGCAGACGTGTCATATAATTATCAATTGTGTTCAGTGTTGGAACTTCATTACTGCCTGCAAGTGGACAAAAAATTAACCTATAGTAGAGACGTTGGGAAGGTGAGTAACGACTAAGTTGGATGTGAGTCTTATGCATTACGAAGCATCTGATATGTAGTTTTGATGACAGGCATGAATTAGTTCAAAGCAACTGAAACTTGGTATTAACCCTTCCGCGCAGTCATTTAAATTCCGCGGCCGTCTCTCCGGCGGTAATATCTTCAGCTGTCCATTTAAATTTTGCTCGAAAATGATTTATTCATCATTGTTCTTAAATTATATGAGATAGGAACATGAAACTTTCACTAAAATGATCTTAAAAGGTGGTTTTATAACCTTACCTTATAATATGAGCGCCCTGTATCTCGGCAATGGAAGCAGGTTGTTTAGTATTTGAGCAGTGAATGGTACGCCTTGAAGGATGAAACTTTCACTAAAATGATCTTAAAAGATGGTTTTATAACCTTGCCTTATAATATGAACGCCCGGTATCTCGGCAATGCAAGCAGGTGACGCCTTGAAGCATTCGTCTAAACACAGCACTGGCTCACATTCACCACACCAATACTGCATATCTTTGCTTTGGCTCTTTTTTTTTTTAACCACACTTCTGTGCGGCCTTGCCTTCTTCCCCGTGGGGGGAATACAAGAGGAAATGTCTCTCCGTGAGTTGTATAGGTTGCGAGATTAGCTGCAGTAAATTCAACCTTTGTGTTATCATAACAAGGGGTTGGTGCTTCTGCGTTTCAGATTCCAACCATTTTGGCTGCCCCAGATGT